TCAAAGAAAGAAATTCTCAATTCTAGCCTTTATTGCTAGCTTTGCTTGTGTTTGTTTGTGTCTATGAGTTATATAGAAATGCATGTCTGCACTGCTTCTGTTCGTATGCTGGTAACTGTGAGCTCCTTTGTGTGCGTTCTGGTCATGTGAGAGCTGCAGTAAGGTAATATTTTCTCATCATCATTTCAATGGCTTCTGGTGCCTACAAAAGGCACAGATCTGCACAAGGGCTTAGTCCATGTTTCTACCTCTCCTGCTCATTCAACGCGACACTGTCAGGAACCTTCAAAAAGTGACCCAAATCAAACCGGTCGTGCCTTACAGGAAACAAAAACAATCCGTGACAAACATCCCAACCAGCCATACATGAAAGTGAGCGTGAGGCCAGAGAGAGGAGCTGAAATGCAGAGAGAATTCATGGGAATATGAAATGAGCTTTGCGGTGAACAGCTCTGCAGCAGAGTGAACTTTACTGAAGGGCCAAAGTAAAAGCAAAAGTCAGATACACACACACTAGCTGGTCAAATACCAATTTCCTCTCTACATATGCTTAGCACCAAAGTAAATCTACAGCTTATGAAGAGAAGTTAGTCAAAGTCATATTGGTTTTGAGATTCACTGAAGGGAATCGATCCATGCCTCATGTAGATAAAGTAGTCCCACATTCCCTCAGCTGAGCCAAGTCAACTCAAATTAACTGACTTTCTGCAACAACAAACGGAGTGGGGATTAGAACAATGTATTAAAATGAAACATCTGTTCCTTATCGGGCAGAATGAGTTGCACCCCTGTCCATGTCAGTGCTGCAGCATCCTTGCTGCTTGGTCAGCAGAACTAATTTGAACAGTGAATCATAGGCTCATCCACAGGTCAAACAGCACAGAATGAATCATGCATGGTCATGAAAAGCTGCGCATCTTTGAAATGTTTTCTCACTGGATGAATCAACAAGCACACAGCATATCGAATCAAGACAGTTTCCTCTGTGTGTCTGTATGTGTTTCGCATGCATCACTGACTGCGCGGTGTAACACATTTGAGCTTGAACACCACACCAGCAACAGCTCTTCAGGCCAACTTTGTGTTAATCTTAATCTTAATTATGATACCTGTCATTATTTAGCACAGCATAGATTCTTTAAACAATCATGCTATTTAATCTTTGGTCATTAAACAGTATCCGATTGTACTACGAAGTAATGTAATGCGCATTTTACTTAAAAACCTATTCACTTACACAGTGAGTAGCTTTCCCTGTCACTGGTAGTCTACTAGTTGTGACCAGTTTAAAGGTTTTTTCCCTTGTTTTATTTGAATTATTTGAATTATATAAGTAAAATTAACATTTTATTAACAAGAGAAAAAAAGCAAAGATTAGTCTGAAAAAATCTATATGATTTGTGTGGCAGTACGGAAGCCCTAAGCGGCCATCGATTCAAATATTTAATATTTTTATATTTATTTTGACTTTGACTTGATTTTTTTGAGATCTCAAGATAACAAAACAGTAGTTTAACACGGGTCGGCAGGAACGTTTTTTGATGATAATTTCAGTGTCACTGGTTAGTCCAGTTAGTAGAGTGCAGTGCAGTGCAGTGTTGTGTGTTTGATCCTCACGGAAGACCTATTTTCTTTTTCATAATCTTCTTCAACAAAGTTCTTATGAAGAGACTGACACACGCTCACAATAAAGCACGTGCTGGACTGTGCGCTTCCCGATGATTGGTCCACATCTATCAACCTATGGACATCATTTCCCCATCATTCCCAGCAAGAGGAAATTCATCTGCTTCTCATTCAGGGGAATTAATTTAACGTCCTGACGGCTATTTTGGAACCTTTGAAATAGCTGTCAGGAAATGTGTGGTTGCATTCCCCTGAATCTATTCATAACAACTTTGTTGAAGAGGATGATAAAAAACACACAAAAGCAGAAAAAAAAGTTACTGGGAGCAGGAGTCGAACCTGCTATCCAGTCCAGCGCGCTAACAACTAAGCTAACCAGTGACACTGTAAATTTTTGGGAAATTATCCTAAAAAAAGCACCTGACGACCCCTGTATTCAGCTATGATGACGAGAAAATTATCCCTTTATCACGAGAAAACAACAGTCATTATCTCAAGATCACAAGGTAACTATGCCGTTATCACAGGAATATGGAGTAAAAAATTTTTTATCAATGGCCGCTTAGGGATTCCGTATGGCAGACGGCATTTTGCGTCCCTTGAAATTTATCTTGAGCTCCCTTTTGGGAGTCCTGACCGCCATGTTGTGAATCACGGCCCTAATGAATGTTGAACATGTGTGTTTAGTATGTGTCGGTGCAGAGAGCTATAGTAATATCGATTAAGACAGCATAGTAACAGCAGTCTCTGAATAATGAAGCAAACTGTTGATTTTTTTTTAAAGTATCAGGGAAGGGCTTCACATTATCCTCAGGAATAAAAAAACACTAACAACAAAAGGAACCAAAAACACAAAAGTGCAGTGTGACTAAAAAATCAGTAGTCTGTGCTGTTCAACATCAACACCAACACCGGCATGAAAGTGTGCATGCACGCACACACAGATATGCAAACACAGGTGGGGGCGGGGCTGTAATCTCTATGCTCACTGCAGCTCATACAGTCAATTGTGCAAGATACAATTATACCCAGTGACCTGGGATCACCTACAGGAAATGAAAATCATAACAAATGAGAGTAGATGAACAAAAAAAGAGAGGATTGCCAAGTGGCCATATTTTTAGACCCAACTATGAGTGTGAAAGAAAAGGGAAATTCAGTATATTAATACAAACAGAAGCGACAGAGGCAATTTCATCTGTCAACAGTTTACAGGTGTGTGTGGGGGGGGAGTCCTGACCACTGGATCATGGGCAGTTACTTGCATTAAAAGTCATAAGGCATTGTGCAGACCCTGTTTGATTCTAACTGCCACAGACACGACAAGACGTTTGGAACTACTGACCAAAACAAGACCCAACACACATGTTGGTACAATTTCAGGGAAATACAATACAAACCAACCCCCCCCCCCACACACACACATACTAGCAAATGTTTGCATGCAACACTACTACAATACTAGCTTACACAAAATGTAAAGGACAGCCAACTGTGTTCCAGCAGATGGACCCTTGTCACCATGGTAACCCTTCTGACCTTCACCTTTCTCCATGTAGCTTCTGCAATACGGTTCCTCAATCATGACATGTGTGATTACTGTGCCTGTGATGAAACTATCCTTTATTATAAGTATATAAGAAAACCCAGGGTCACAGTCAATGGAGCCAAGGCATAAGGATCATTTAGATGATTTAGATTCTCTGCATTCTGTATATGGCAACGTAGTAGATTATGAAATATATGTTAAACTGTGGTTATGTATGAATTGGCTTAAAAGGCAGCATTTGCGTCTGGCCAGTGAGCAGCAGCAGTAGAAATAGTCTTTAACAACAGCAAAGAACAAAGCAGTAGCAATAGCTCAAAGAGAAACCAAAAGAAACGCAGTGTTTCACTGCCCTGTCTGGTTGACATTTTCAAGTCTGTTTCCAACATTAATGGTGTGTGTGGTCAGAAGTATGATTTGATTCACCTGTAAGCATATCCAACAGTGATGTCACATGGTCCTGGAGTACACCTGTGTGGTGTCTGAACAATAATGCTGCGATGATGTGTTGAGAAGAAATCTGCTTGACACTGTTCTTGATCATAAAAGTTTATTACATCAAGGAGTTCAGCATCAATTACAAGCTGCTGCAGCAGCTTAGAGAGTGACCCAGCCCGTTGGCCACTCTGTCTCTGTGTACATCAAACATAGCTTATATAGGATATGTGTAGGTATCTGTTAGGTACCATAGAGTCTGCAAAATAAAGCTCAAACCCATAGAAGGGTACAGTGCTATTCTGAGGTAACAAAACAAGGGGTTAGAGGTCAAATTCTATAGAAGGGTTCAGTCCCTACATAACCACCAATCACTGCTCTCCCCTTAGGAGGTCACTGACCCTCTGTCCTGCTGCTATAGTGCTATTTTTGTTTTGAGTCAAATGCACATATATTGGACACTACACCTGCACATCACTTGAAAAATTAAACCATTGGAGGTCAGAAAAGACCCTGAAGATGTTCAGGGGGTGCTAACTTACTCTTTAAACTCTTTAAACTGACATATGGCTTAAAGCTGGGGTATGGGATTTATTTCAGAAGCATTTTTTGTTATATTTTGTTATAATTCTCTTTACATCCTGACGCCAATCAATAAATCCAATGCTCTGACAATCAATGAAAAAACAAAACAAAAAACATTTCATTTGGACAGAATGAAATGACTTCACTAGCAATTTGATCATTGACAACTGAAAAACACCAAGTTGCTGTTTATAATTGGTTATATTAAAAACAGCTTTAATTAAATGGGCATGAGTTGAGTCAAGTATGTGAATGCACTGTGTTCTGTGTGGGTGTGTAGTTGATGATCACCTGATCTGGGTGGCACTAATGACTTCACATTCCTTCACAAACCTACACTATTAGCTCAATTTACAGTGAAATACTCACAAAGAACATCTTCAAACACTCATTTTCAACCAAAAGCAGTTGCACTTGGCACCGTTTCGACAGTCAATCTTTCCACCAGAAAAACATTCTACTGCTGGTCACTTATTTATACACGCATACATCTTAGCAATCATGCCAAGTACTTCATAAGATGGACACACCATGAATCATGTTCAGGAGCACAGCTTATCTGTTTTTTGTGACGTGTTGATGCATCCTCCATCTTTAGGGAACCTGTATTCCCACACACAAACACATCTCTGAAACAACCAGCATTGGCAACTACTGCAAAATTCCTGAAGCTGCTGTTACAGTATCTGTGGTTAGGTTCCTTTTGTTTTGTGTCAGTTCTTGTGTGAGAGGCATAATCTTTGGATTTTATTTAGCCTAGAGGAACACAGAGAGCAATGAATACAGTATGACAGAGACATGCACTTACCTGAGACTCAAGGCCAGGCGTTCATCTTTAGCCCTCAGCAAATCGCCTACTGAAAAATGTGGCACTACCCAGGAAGCTGCTCTGTAGAACCAGACAGACAAGAAAAACATAGCTGGTTAATATGGGGCAAAGCATTTCAGCAAGTAAACAGTTAAAAATAAAAACAATAAAAAGAGACTACTGAACAACTTTCTTCTTTATGGTCGCACCATAGAGGTGTTTCGGAAAGTAAAAAGGTAAGTGTCAGACATAATGTGTCAAAAAGTGCTTGGAGCCCTGTGATCTAAAAAAAAAGCAAAAAAGTGGGATCTTGTTGACATGAGGCACGGGGATGTACAATCTACTCTCCTTTCCCTGTCTCTGTTTCACCCTCTGTCTCCCCTTTCTCACTGCTCTGACAACATGTGTTTGCTGCAGGCATGATGTGAACAGGGGGTGTCAGCACACGAGAACTGGGTCATGGAGAGTGAGGAGGTAGGGGACGATCCCATCAATAACGAAGAGAGATGATCCACATTCGTGGAAAAACTCGCACATACTCCCTCGCAGGCATGACACATATGCATCCACATGCACACATAAAGAAAAGTCCTGCACCTGCAAGTAACACCATCAACACGCTAGCTTGTGCTGCAGGAGGGGAGGGCTAAGACCGTGCCAAGGACACAGGCTGCTCCAAACAAAGCTAAAACACAGAGTAGGTAATTAACAACAGGTACAAAGGTGATGCCACATATTTCATCATACTGGGGGGGACATTTGATCTTAATTAAAGTATCTGCAGCTTGTTCACACTCCCTTCTGAGATACTGATATGCTACAATATCATTTATCTAGCTTTATCTAGCCCTTTTATCTAAAAACGCAAGTGGGTTTGTTTTTATTTCTAGGTTTTTACAATACAGTGACAATACAAAACAAGACAATTTGTGTCTTGCCCCAGTCTGTTCCTTTAGATAGCTGTCAAAAGCTGTACCTTGCCTCTGAAGATGAAAACAGAATTGTGTCTGTTTGGGAAATGAATGCAAAAGAGTTTCAGGTGGTATAAGCAAACCCCCCCCCCCCCCCCCCCCCCACACACACACACACACACACACACACAACCACAATAGACCCCCCCCCCCCTCTCCTTATAGAGAACAAGCCGCAAACAATGTCAGCCTGTGAAAATGGGATGCGCGGATCTGATAGGCCAGATCATTATCAGCACTGACACCTACCTGAACAAGCGGATCAGTCATGAATAATAATTTTTATTACTGATTATTCTACAGACTATTTTCTTAATTAATCAATCCAAAGTTTTGTCTATACAATGTCTGAAAACATAGAAAGTGGCCCTTATATTTCCAGACTAAAATTAATTGTTTTATCACATCAGAAATCAGAAATACTTTATTGTTCCCCAAGGGGAAATTCTTGTGTTACAGTTTCTAGGAAAAGAAATAGTAATAGAAGAATAGAAATAATAAATAAATAAATATCTATATATATACATATATATCTATATATCTATATCTATATATATCTATATATAAGGAGAGTGGGTATGCACAACATTTACATTATTAACAGAATTGTGATGAACAGTGAGTAAATAGAAACAGAACTGCAGCAGAGAATATTGCACATTGATTAAAACAGAGAATATTGCACTACAATGTCTAGTTTAATAACTAACTAAGTGTCTGTGTGTCAGACACTCTGAGGGAGAAGTTAAAGAGTCTGATGGCCACAGGCAGGAATGACTTCCAAAGATGTTTAGCTTACTATCATATATGACAAGAAAAAGCGCAAATCAGAGAAGCTGAAATCAGAGAATGTTTGGCACCAACGGTCGACTAATTGTTTCAGCTCTCGTCACGACACGACACATCCATGTTAAATACAGTATCATTGTCTCCCCACTATTACTTGCATTTATTCAGTCACAGAGTGCATTCAACTCATTTTAGCATCACTACAGTCCCTTACCTTACATAAAATTGATTCTAATGAGTTCCACGCAGTGAGCTATAAAGATTTTAAATGTGAAAACTGGGGGAAAGAGCGCAGGTATTTGTTAGGATCATTATCATCAGATACCCTGAGTCGATGTATCAGGAGAGAAAAAGTTGAATTGGTGCATCTCTACTGTGAAATGCTGTAAAAAGCATCACGAACAGTTTTGGGAGTAACGCGTTAACAACAGTAATGCAGTTACAGTAGTGTATTGCTTTTTGCTGTAAGGCAGTAATATAATGCTTTACTAAAAGAAGATCGGTAATATCATACCCGTTAAAATCTCAGTAACGTGCGTTACAACCATAGACTGTACAATGCATTTTAACCCGAAATTAGTGGTGTTTTGTTTTTTTAATAATTCACCAACATCGAGAAACATTTCGGCACCAGAAAAAAATCCATGAGTAAAAGAGAAACATTATTTCCTGTTGCGGGAATCCGATGGTCGAGATTATAGGCAGGGTCCAAACTATGGGGGAGTTCGGCTCCTCTTAACGGTAGATGGCAGGTCCCCTGATGGATCATGCGTAAATAGATTTCTATAGGCTATGTGTTTGTGCTTTAACTTATTACTTATGATCATGATTATAGAGAGTGCTGTCAGTTCATCTTGACAAATCCTGTCAGAGTGTTGGGAGATTCAAATAATCAATGGCTTTATGCTGGTGTACCTCATGTGTAACTGTGCATAGCATCTTTCTTAATGGGGAGATGACCCCCCACAATTCAGAGTAATATTGTAATACAACTAATTACTCTCAAATGACAGTAACTAGTAATCTATAATGTATTACATTTCAAAAGTAACTTGCCCAACACTAATCACGAAGGACATGTAACAGTGTCATAGAGCTAGGGTCATATGGCAACTGTGGTAAAGAGAGCATGACTGATGAGAGGTGGAAAGCTCACAGGTCACATGACTGTTGCATTGTCTGTTATAAAGTTGTCACAGACATGACTCACTGATTTTTTTTTTTTTTTGATTAGATATTGTTTCTGGCTGAAAATATTATGCATGGCTGTTTTGAGTTAACTTGAACGGTGTTTTCCTTCACCTTTGTTCTGTCTTTTCTTTTATTATTTGGCTATTTGGCTACTTTTACCTCTAATCTTGGTTCTTCCCTTTTCCTACCACTGCACTCTCTTTCTCTCCCTTTTTTGGACTCTATGCAGCCTCCTGTATCAGATAAAAAAAGGTCATCCTGTTGACTGACCTTTTCCCTCAATCATTTCCTCTCTGAGCATTTTCCTGATACCCCATACAAATCTCCATACGCTTATGGCAAAACATTGCCCCAAACACATTCTTCTGCCCTGGCCCACGAACAAGTAGGCAAACACAGACACACACACACGCATGCGTGCACACACAGAAAGAGGAAGAGACTAAAACACAAGATCAGTCACAATGCTATGAAAAATAACATAATATTGAAACACATTAAGAAGCAGCTGAAATTTACCAAGAAAGACAAACAACCCAAAGAATCATATTCAGTTACAAGTTTATGCAGCATAGTGCCATGTCCTTATGACTTAAATCCCAGTAGGCACCACATAATATGTACAACGTCATATTCTTCAGCACTGAAGTATATCATAGTCAATCCTAGTTTGCCCTGATAACCCAGACCGCAAGGCACAGAAGACCATTACACACTGTGGAGGGACATTATATCCCTATGTAGCCATTACTCGCAAGCCGATCCAGAACGTCTGGTAAATGGTCTTGGAAATCCATTCCTTAGCATCTTTTTATGGCCCCTCACGATGAAGGCTTTAAAAGTAATGAAGCTCTGGAGACCGTCTTCTTACACAAGATCAAAGTGGCTGTACCACAGAAAATGAGAGAAAGATGGGTGCAAGAGGAGGAGTGGAGTGAGAAAAGAAGACAAATGATGCTCTTCCAGGATCATGGAGGATTGATTATGATGGTCTCGCTCTGATCCCTTCTCACATGCTCTGGCTCTCTCTTTTTTCTATCTATCAATTTGCCTGCTCTTGCTCATTCCCTTCACTGGTTCTACTGGCCATGCCGGTTGCAAGGTACAAAAGAAACTTTGGATCTAAGATCACTAGTTTTCTAAAACAGACATTTCACACGAGCTCAGACATGAATAAACATTACCGAACAAACCCAAACGTGTTCTTGAGAACACGCGCGCATGCACAGAAGATCAATCATAGACAAAAATAAATTAAATAAAATTTGAAGGACACTTGTGCAGGAGCACACAGAGCTGACATTGTGTACATCTGCAAGCAATCCCAAGCACTTGTCTGTGGAGCTTTTGAAGGCCACAGTGTCTGGGCATCACTTGGCAGAGGTAAATGGTCCAACTCAAGCTGTGGATCTATTGATTTTCTACATGTCCTGAGTGACAGGGTGACACACACTAACTCTTTCTCAATCATTTCCTCTCTCTCTATCTGTCAATGTCTCTCTCTCTCTGTGTGTGTGAGAGAGAGAGACTGCAGAGAATACCTGGAAGAGAGGACATTCATTCACATGCTACGCCAACAAATGACATTTGATATAAATGGCAGTGGTGACAGTTTTGACATTCACTGAACAATATGCATGTGGCAAACATTTATGAATATGAACAGATTTATTATACCATGGAGGTCAGTAGTGTCTACATGAATACACTGCTCCTTCACCACAAATAGGGCTTTACAAATTGGCCTGATTAAGTCATTAGAGATATCATGACATGCCATTTAAACTAACATGCAAATGTGTGCACTGGGGCACAAAATATGGACACAGTGACTTAAAATTGACACACACACACACACACACACACAGTGAGATCACACGTACAACACACACAAACAGTATGTAACAACACACACACACACACACACACACACACGGACACACACAAGAAAGTCCACTTACAGTTTTGTTGCATACAATCCTAGCAGCAACAAGCAAATAAGGCCGTGAGAGAAGAGCTACAGAAATGAGAAAAGGCTGACAGAAAGACTGTAATAACGAAGAGAGAGAGAGAGAGAGAGAGAGAGAGAGAGAGAGAGAGAGAGAGAGAGAGAGAGAGAGAAAGAGAGAG